CGAGTATTCTTTGTCTTTTTTACGTGCCTGCAATGGCTCACCTTTTCTGCCGCGTCGCTTTTCGTTGTTTCTTTCATGCTCGCCATTTTTATTTTTCGTTTTTAAATTTTTTGGTTCACCGCACTCCATCGGGCCGGACTGGGGGTACATTCGCTGTTCTGGACAGTGGTCTTCCGCGCCCCATGCGCGAAGCCTTGGAGGGAGGGGCAGGTGGACGCCGTGGACGCGGTTTGGTGCCTAGCGGCTGGCAGGGGAGCTAGGGAGGCTCATCATTGAACCCCGGCGCTTCTTCGTGTTGGTGTTGGGCACGTTTGCCTGCACCCGCGCATCCCTGGCCTTTGGCTTTGGCCTGACCGCGGGAGAAGCAGGACTGTTATGGGCAGGGCCAGCATCGCAGCTTGGTCGTTTGTGCGGTTAGCCGGGCTTTCCACTACTTTGTGCCGTTGATTTTTTTTGTCATGAACACTTTGGCCATATCTCCAGTTTCATGTCGGGGGAACTACAATTCCTTCAAAACATACACGGGTACGGGGTACGACTGCAGTGGATGAGAAGCAGGAAATTGCAGGCGAATGATAATGTTTCCCGTGAGGATGCATCGAGGCCAATTAATGAACTGGCTCGGTTTGGCATTCTCGTGGCGGGCGCCTGTGGCTGCCTCTGCGTGTGTCTTTTTCGTGCGGACATGGCAACCGTAGGCACAGTGGCCATTGTTTTCGTCTACTTTGGCATACCGTACGCCTTTGTCTACGACTACTTTGGTGTGAGGCCTCTCTTTGTGCTTGGGCTCGTGCTGATTACTGTTGGCGCGCTGCTGATGGCACTGACTTTCAGTGGCGCCATTTCCACAACCGTGTTGCGCCCGTGCGACTCCAACAGCATTGCTAACTTTGGCGTGGGTGTCTATGGCCTTGCGGGCGTCGTGACTGTTGCCAGCTTATTTCCAACGCGAAGAGGTGTCATTGTGGCTGTAATGGAGATGTTCGCTGGTTTGGGGTTTGCGATTTTGGGGTCGATTCAGTTGGCCTATTTGGAGGGCCAGCCGACAAACTAGTTCTTCTTCCTGATGGGCTTTGACACTGTCAACGGTGTCGCTGCGCTGCAGCTGCTACGCCCATCCCCGTATTTAATTACAGGTTGCGAGCGAAGGCACCTAACGGAGGCGGAGGCAGAAAGGCACATCATGACGAAGGCCGTGTATTTGCCTCAGCCGCTGCCCACCATGCGTTTTGCAGTTGTGCTGCTTTTCATCTTTTTCCTTTTGTTGCAGACTGCATTGGTGGCGAGCCTGCACCCGCCGTGGGGGTATCGGAACGGCTTTGCCACTGCGACGATTGTTGCCCTGGGCGTGTATCCCATTGTCACCGTGTCGTTACGATCTACGGACCGAATCTGAAAGTTTTGTCGTCCCCCAACCTCCGTGGGAGATGTCGCTGCTGAGCAGCATAAGCCAGTCAGCGATAGGCCGGATGGGGCCCCGACGATGGGGATGGACCACGTGGCGCCGCAATATCAGACAAGGCTTCTCCAGAGCCTCCGCACAGTGAGGCTCTGGGCCGTCTTTTGTTCGCCGTTCTGCACACTTGGAACTGCGTTTGCTATTCCAACGAACTTGCGTTTTTGTTTTGCGACCATGTATGGGGAGGGCACTGACGATTTCCTCAACGCACTGCTAGCGGTGCTGGATGACGTGGGAAGTGCGCTTGGTCGCCTGATAAAATGAGCGCCCTTGAGGGGCCTGGTCGCAGAGGCGGAGGGGTGGAGGATCGTATTCCCATCACGTTGTCTTTTTTTATGCCAACCATTGCGGTTCCCTTAATGGCGGCGCCTCTTCCTCACGAGATCAGCAACAGGAATAGTTTCTGCCAATTCCGTACCTTATTGGGGCGCGGGATAACGGCATTGTGGCAGCGGTGAGGATTCTTGTGAGTAGTGCTATCTATGAAAGGGATCCTGGTATACACCAAAATTTCTGCTTCCTTGCAGTCACGTGTTCCTCTATGCTGCTTAACCGCCTTCCTTGTGACGAGTGGTCCACACGGGAGGAAGCAAAGCGGGGTGTTGCTGTCTGTTTGGGGCGTGCTTGTGTGCAGGTTCCATTGCTTGTGACGCCCGGAGAGAGCGTGACGGTTTTTCTCTCCTGCGCCCACATGCACTGGAAGTATGCGAAGCTGAATCGTGAGGAGTTAAAGGAGCCACACCGCTGTCTTGAAGAGGGGAAGGGAAATGGGGATGCGATGGTCCTGAGTGAGTGCTTGCTTGTGGATCAGGTGGATGGCCCTTGGGGAAAGAATGCAGTGAGTGCAGGGAACCCCTCGATGACACTACTCATGTGGGTGCGGGGACTGCGACACACGATGCCAATTTTATCGAGTGTGGGAGGGAGCACGGCGGTGCCGGTGCTGGGCAGTCTCCGCGAGAAAAGTGAGTACATGACACGGCAGTTGTTGTATTG